TGTCAGAGTTTCAATCTGTTGCCCAGGCTGGAGTGCAGTGATGCGATCTTGGCTCACTGCAACCTCTGCCTCCCGGGTTTAAGCAATTCTCCTGCCTAAGCCTCCCAAGTAGCTGGGATTACAGGGATGAGCCACCATGCCTGGCTAATTTTGTGTTTTTAGTGGAGATGGAGTTTCACTGTGTTGGCTAGGCTGGTCTCGAACTCCTGACCTCAAGTGATCCACCCACCTCAGCCTCCCAAAGTGGTGGGATTTCAGGGGTAAGCCACTGAGCCCAGTCTTCTTTGCTATGTTAAATCTAAGTTTTACACTTGGTTGGAAAATTCCTCTACTCCATTTTATTTCACTCGGCAAGTGATAATAATCTGAATCTGTTTGTAAAAAACTCTTCACCCTGAAAGCTAAATAAAAACCCAGAGATATGGCAAATCGCATTCTGAAGTCTTGTCACTCCATCCTCTGATTAGTATGTCTGCTCTGTTTGCATTTATGGTTTATATGCTTTGAATTTGTGGCTTTTCTGTTTTGCAAGAGTTACTGTCAGTGAGACGTCTACCAAAAGAAATACTGCTATTAGTGGTGTCGGGACCAACTGTATTTAACAGTGTGGTGTGTTTCTAAATCCCTACTATGGTTTTTGAGAAACCGTCTCTAGATGGGTGTGGATGATGTGAGGACTGAAAGTAAAAACTTCAGAAACAACATAGCAGAAACATTAATAGGAAAGAGCTTCCAGTGATTAAATTTTTCTTTTGGTCTTTCAGGTTGAGGAAGTAAAGAGAATAGGCATAAATGGTGGGAAATTTACATCAGCTTGAAAAAAACAATAGAATACATCATTCTTAGCTCCTGAGATGAGAGCCCAGGAAGTCATAAGGTCAAAGGATCCTGTCCCATTTGTCTGTGGTGACAGTCTCTCCTCCCCCTACAAGGAATGCCTTACCTTTAAACAATGGAAGTGTCCCTGAGAAGTTGAAGAAATTCATGCTGATGGAATTTTAAAAATCAAATCATTTTAGAAGTACCCAGTGATTATACTTTTCTGTATTTTCCAGTTTTTTTAGTGAGAGTGTATTCTATTTATGATAAAAACAGAAATCAGAAAAATAATTTTTTTTTGATACAGAATCTTGCTTTGTCGCCCAGGCTGCAGTGCAGCAGCATGATCTCGGCTCACTGCAACCTCTGCTTCCCATATTCAAGTGATTCTCCCGCCTCACTCTCCTGAATAGTTGGGGTTACAAGTGTGAGCCACCACTCCCAGCTAATTTTTGCAGTTTTAGTAGAGATGGGGTTTCACCATGTTTGCTAGGCTGGTCTCTAACTCCTGACTTCAAGTGATTTGCCTGCCTCGGCCTTCCAAAGTGCTGGGATTACAGGCATGAGTCACCGTGCCCATTAGGAAAAATAAATGTAAAAGAAGGAAATAAACTAGGAGTGTGGGGTTGAATGAGTTGTCACCATTGAAAGGTGCTCATTTGCTCACATTTTATAATGTGAGAATTCTTTTGTCCTGCAGGTTGTGACACTTGATAACATACCTGCTCTCCACATCTAGAATTTACTTT